TTTGTATACTTAGTGTATCTATTGGACATTATATGCAACTTTTTTTAGGATGGATTTTTCAACTTTTCAATCCAAAGATTGAAATGTCATTGGATTTTGACCAATTTATGGATTGTCAGTCAAAATTTGTTGGAATCCGATTATTCAAATGAAACATCTTTGTGGTTCATTGTGCTTTAATAAATAGTAGGTCAAAACCCTTCTCTTATATTTTTTTCTTTCATGTGCTCGAATGAATAGTGTTCTCGACATAGTAAAATATCTATACAAGTTATTTGGTCAATTATGAGTTATTTTTCATTAATCATCCAAATATGGTAAATTAGAGATGACATGCCATAATTTTAGAAGTTNGTAAAATATCTATACAAGTTATTTGGTCAATTATGAGTTATTTTTCATTAATCATCCAAATATGGTAAATTAGAGATGACATGCCATAATTTTAGAAGTTTTCAAAATTTGCAATGCACACCATACATCTATCTATACTACTATAAAATGTCTAAAAAAGTGAAAACTTTTGTTTGACAATATTATCCTTAGCAAATTACTTAAAGACAACAATATCCTTTTGTTANTTTTCAAAATTTGCAATGCACACCATACATCTATCTATACTACTATAAAATGTCTACAAAAGTGAAAACTTTTGTTTGACAATATTATCCTTAGCAAATTACTTAAAGACAACAATATCCTTTTGTAATAATTTCTTATTGCTCAATTAACAATTAACAAAATATCAAGTTACTAAATTATGTTGGACTCTTTGGAATTGGGAGTTACAGTAAATTAAGGAAGCAAGATTACTATAAGACTCTTGGTCTTTCATAACTCCATGACAAACAAGATTGTTATATTACTCTAGGCCTTTCATCTCCATGTTATAAATTTGTTCGTCNGGTCTTTCATAACTCCATGACAAACAAGATTGTTATATTACTCTAGGCCTTTCATCATCCACGTTATAAATTGGTTCGCCAGCCAAATTGTCAAGTTCAAAAAAGGGTTTTTTCAAGAACATGTTATATATGTTCTCAATGCTTTTGGATACATTTTGGGCCATGTTTTGAATAATTTGGAGATCCTATAAATATTATTTGATAAAGATTATTTAATCACATTTCAGCCTCACAATTTGGATGGAGCCTAATCTAAAGAGACATCTTCTTTATTGCAATGGTCTATCAAAATTGTTGCGACTGTTTTAAGTGATGATGATATCAGGTTTGAGTATCAAATTTTGATATTTTGAACCAATTGTNTTGGAGATCCTATAAATATTATTTGATAAAGATTATTTAATCACATTTCAGCCTCACAATTTGGATGGAGCCTAATCTAAAGAGACATCTTCTTTGTTGCAATGGTCTATCAAAATTGTTGCGATTGTTTAAGTGATGATGATATAGTATCAAATTTTGATATTTTGAACCAATTATTTTCTTATTTTCAGTTAGTTATTTCTCCTTCACTTTATATTCACAAAAGATAAAATGATTTTCAACTTCAGGTAGAAGTAGAATGTGACAGTGTTGCATCAATTATCTGTTCTGGTTTGTTTCTTTATTGCTCAGAGATAATAATTTATATTCTTGAAGATGTTCTCAACTATTCGTGTATCTTGCAACTATATTATGCTATTTACTTTGATAGAAATCATTGCACGAATCAGAATTAGATGGATGTGCACATTTTAAAGCATGTGTTTATTNGTAGAAGTAGAATGTGACAGTGTTGCATCAATTATCTGTTCTGGTTTGTTTCTTTAATGCTCAGAGATAATAATTTATATTCTTGAAGATGTTCTCAACTATTCGTATATCTTGCAACTATATTATGATATTTACTTTGATAGAAATCATTGCACGAATCAGAATTAGATGGATGTGCACATTTTAAAGCATGTGTTTATTGTAGACTATTTTTTTTTTCTTTTTCGCAAATTACAACAATCTTTCCCTCTGTTTACATAAGTGAGCACCAGAGTACATTGTGAAATATTGGCTACCATTTTGTCTCTTTAGTTCCTTTGATTATGGTTATCCTAATTTATTTTTGCACAGAATTCAATAAATTTTTTATGTGATGCAATTTACCTAACTTATTGGTTATGTGGTGTCCCAGAACNTAGACTATTTTTTTTTTCTTTTTCGCAAATTACAACAATCTTTCCCTCTGTTTACATAAGTGAGCACCAGAGTACATTGTGAAATATTGGCTACCATTTTTTCTCTTTAGTTCCTTTGATTATGGTTATCCTAATTTATTTTTGCACAGAATTCAATAAATTTTTTATGTGGTGCAATTTACCTAACTTATTGGTTATGTGGTGTCCCAGATCTGAACATTCAAGTTTTAGGATTGACTTCTATTTTACCAAGGGTAACGACATTTGTACATTTCTTAAAAAAAAACAAAGATTAGCACTAAATTTGCTTGGATTTGAACAAATAACATGATACAGAATTATTTATAAATTATTTTTTGAATATTATTATGTTTGCGCCCTCATTCACAAAAAATAATAATATCAATATATAATTTAAATTATTCACATGAAAAGCATGTGTTTATCAACTAGTTAATTTAAATGTGAGATGTTTAGCTTACATTTTGTACATTTTATCTCGTATAATTTGAAGTCATTTTAAATTAGCTGTGTAATTAATTATTATTTTATCTAAATGGGCTTGTGAAGGTTGTTAAAGAAGTTCTCAAAGTATCTAAAGTCAATTACTTTTGAAGGATCACGATCACTTAATCCTTCATGTATTAATTTTGTTCTTGATAAGATTAGCTTCTTCGCTAAAAAAAAAAATAACAGAATATCATTGTTTCTTTTCATTATTTACATAAGATTTTTTTTTTTTTTTGATAAAATTTCATGTGGGATGTAATTATTTACATAAGATGAAGGGATTACTAATATTCATTGTTTTTGACACAAGATTGTGTGGGGGTGGGGGTAAGGGGGGTTTGGAGAGAGATTAAGGAGGAAAGTTTATGGAGGAAAATTGTTAGATTATTTTATTTTGATGGCTTGTAATCAACTATAAATTTGATGTACTAAGTTATTCAAGCATAAATATTTTTTGTTTGTGTGTAAGGTTTCAATAAATGTCAATTTTGTTTGGGGATATATGAATAAGTATATCATGTATATGATATGTAGAACTTTGAATACAAGTATAGAAATGAAAAGAAATTATGGAGAATTGGAAATTTGTATAATGAAGCACTTTCGTGATGAGAAAAATTCAACGCTATAAGTGTTGTCCATCTTTTAGCGATGAAATCTTATTGTTGCCAAGCAAAATTAGTTTTTTTTTTTCATTTTTTCTGCAATCAAACTATTATTATTGAAAATGCTTCAGCAACACTCCCTCCTCTTAAGATGATTTACTCAAGTTTACTTTTCAAATTTTAATGTGTCTACATGCCTATGAAATTTGTGTGTAGATTGTATATAGTGAGACAAAGAAAGAAAATTTTAATATTTCTTGAGTAATGCTGTCTCGATGAATTGCACAATGAAGAATCATGATGAATTGCACAAGAGAGAAATTCTCCATAAAAAATTTTGAACAATGGTATGTAACCCAAATTTGGGATCCCAAATCAATAAGGACCATTGGATGAGTGGGATGCCAATTGGGATTCAAAGTGGGGTTGCATAGCATTTTCCAAAAAAATTATAGTTTGATATGAACTTTTATTTTTACCTTTGAACCTGATCAATTACTCTTGTCTTTTGCAGCCTCACCTGAGACTTTGCCCATCAGTGGGATAACATCTACATTCATCTGTATGTGACAATCTTAAACATGCTATAATTGAAACAGGATAGAAAAAAAAAAAAAGAAATATGTAAATGAGGTGCCAAAGGACACCTGCGTATTGGTTTTCCTCTACTAAACACTCTACGAAAAGTGTATATATATTTTTTGATTTATAAATTAATTTGTCATTTATTTTCATCATTTAATTTTTTGGATTGATTTGTATCACACAATAGAAACTACATTTGCAAACACCTACTCAACATTGTACATAATTAACAATAAAAAATATAAATTAAATTGACAACTTAAATTAATTTATGTGCAACACACGTGTACAACAACCAATGTATATAGATAAATAGATAGATGGTATCAGAGCCTCTCTCTGCCATTCTCTCCCTTCACGTGTAATTTAGCCTTCATCTTCTTTCTTCCTCATTCTCTCCTCCTCTGTAAGTAAACTTTGTAAATTTATTTGATTTTAATAAAAGTTTGCTCTATATTAAGCGATTCTTATAACTTTGGTATCAGAGCTAGTATGGCTTTGGTAGCTTAAAGCTCTTTTGCTAATATATATATATATGTATGTCAATCTATTATTAATTCAAGTTGTTTTGTTATTATGATTCAAATTTTCTATACTAATGTAAATTAAAAAACTGGGATATACCCCAATATCCAATTAAAAAAAATATAATATTGAAACTTTTGATTTTAAATCAAGCATAACAATTAAGACGTTAGAAAGAACAATTTTCTTTGATCAACATGAGAATACTTTATAACTCTTAACAGAGAGAGAAGTCTTAAAGGCACAAGAAAACTATAACAGTAATCCCACAGTTTAGCATACTGCTCTACATGGCTACCTTCAACAATTCTTATAGCTTTTTTCCTTACCCTGTAACACTGATCCTTAGAAAAACTCAATTGATGCTCCTTCATTACCCTTTCTATAATTGCCTCAACAGGCCAATTGGGATTCCCTCTAAAGTCATCCAAGTAGGTATTAGCCAGCCAATTAGAATTTGACATTGGGTTCTTAAATGACCTTCTACTTGTATGTTTACCATTGAATGTTTTGACTTGGATTTTTTTGTTGTCATCCATAACAAATGAAAAAATCATCCATTTGCACTTTCTCTTGCAGATTGCTCTAACCCTCACATGATCATTTTTCTTAAAGATTATTTGTTTTTCCTCCCTAATTGATTATTCCTTCACTGCTTCTTTGAATTCAGCAGGTGATCCAAAAGGCATCCCTAACTTGAATGTTGGATTCTTCATATTAATCTCAGCCCTAAACTCAGAATACTTTGGCATTCTCCTTTTATTACTATCTTCATCTAATGAGGAACCATCTATGCTAAACAGTTCATTAGATGATGCATAATCAGACTCAACACCATCATTCTCAATATCACCATAGTCTGTTGATTTCTCATTTTTCACATCCTTTCCAATGTCTGTCACACCTNATGCATAATCAGACTCAACACCATCATTCTCAATATCACCATAGTCTGTTGATTTCTCATTTTTCACATCCTTTCCAATGTCAGTCACACTTACCCATTCAACATCTATGTCAACATAAGCCTTAAAAATTTTCCCATCTTCTTCTACATCATAGTTACTGTTATTAAAATTAGACCCATCAAAAGTTCCATTGTCTCTCTCAGCCCCAGCTCTTTCATTCTCTATGTCATCCTCAACTGTTCCATTGTCTCTCGCAACCCCAGCTTTCTCATTCTCTATTTCACCCCCAACTATTATATTATCTCTTTCAACCCCAGCTCTCTCATTCTCTAGGTCACCCTCAACTGTTGCATTTGTATCAATCTGGGTGGCAACAACCTCATGATACTCTAGCAAATATGGTTGGTTGTTTATTATTTCCTATACTAGATACAACAGTTACGTGATTCCCCTCTAAACCATTTAAATCTTCATCATCGATCTCCTCAATAATAACAGAATGTCTAATCTCAGTATCTACATCATTTTTTATCCCCTCCTCATCACATATATCAAACAGTGAGCTATGTTCAATGTATATATCAGCAACTTTGTTGGGATATAATGAATTAAATATTGTGAACACTTGAGTATCAATATACAGGAAAATCAAACCATTATCCAAATTCTTGTCTAATATCAGATAATGGTACCTGCGAATCTCTTCATCGTATCTTAACTTTGTAAAATCTGAGTATATTTGAACTTTTATGAAAAAGGGGCAAAATGATAATTTATTATTACGGTATGGGTTGCAAACCTGAATTTTTCTAGATCTTGGATGATGAAACGAACCTCACCGTTAGATTCGTCTCGCGAAATCTAGCTACCCTGTCAATTTTCGTCAAATTTCGAGATAATCAAATTTTTTGCGTTTTACAAGACGATCTCCAGTGACCCAAAAACGAATTTTGGAATAATATTTTGAAATTTAAAAAATAATTTAAAGTAAGTTGAAATAAAAATATTTTGAACTTGAACTGGAGTGAAATTTAATTGTTTCAGGTCAAAACTGAAACTGAAAGTGGAGGCCTGTGTGGCGCGATGATGACCTAGTATTTGGGGAGTATAAAAAGGGGAAGTAATTTCTTCCCCACAAATCTNGGCGCGATGATGACCTAGTATTTGGGGAGTATAAAAAGGGGAAGAAATTAGATTTCTTCCCCACAAATCTGTTGGGTCTTCAACGTTGGAGAGAAAGAGAGAAAACAAAGAGAAAAACTCAATCTTCTCTCTATGATCTACGACCCTATGATGCTCGAATCAACACGGGCTAAGAATCAAAGTTGTTCTACTCGTCAAGGGCTACGCTTACGTACCAAAAAGACTGAATTTCACAAAATTTTTTGAGACGGAATTTTGGAGAAATTAAGGTTTGAGCTTGGGGGTATATTCTTAGAGCTTCCCAACGTTCTTTTATGTTTCAAGAGATAGGGTTGTCTCCCTAATTAGGTTTATTTTTAACCTAAAATAANAGCTTGGGGGTATATTCTTAGAGCTTCCCACGTTCTTTTACGTTTCAAGAGATAGGGTTGTCTCCCTAATTAAGTTTATTTTTAACCTAGAATGATTATATAGAATGGGCAGGTTGTTAGAGAATTTTAACACTTGCCTATTGTTGAGAATTTGGTGAAATGGGTAGGTTGATAGAAGTTGTATCACTTGCCTATTGTTGTAAAAAAAATTTAGGAAATGAGTATTGAGAATGGGTAGAATAATTTCTATCATGAATTAGGTATGCGGAAATTACCTAATGTGATTCTTAAGTTGTGTGATTAATTGGGCAAATTATGTGATGACATGATTGGATGTCTTGAATGTGTTTGAAATAAATGCAAATGCAAATGTGAAGTTAAGTATGCTACATAGATAATGTGATAACATGCTAGGGAATTGTTATGGGTGTGATGTTAATATATGTTTTATGATATGTTAGCATTATGATAAGTGTGAAATTTATTTGCTTTGATATAATTGACAATAGAATAGTGAAAATTACTCATTTGACATTCATTTCACATTGGACATGATGTTGGCATCACATTCATGGGCATTGGGCATGAGTGTGAGTATGTGGGTCCATAGTTCAATCAAACACTATACTTGGTAGATGATGGGTGGGCTCGAGAAAAGTTGGAACGAAGTTTTCAACTAAGTCGCACGGCTGCATGAAAAAAACTTGTGTCGGGTATAGCAAGAAGGGCTAGACTCTCCCTCGAGTGCAAGACCCGACTACTGATTTATACACTTTTGACGGTGTAAATCCAAAATAGTGTATCGGTATGCAAAGCCGACGGTGCGACACCAAAAGTCCGCTACCCAACAAAAACACATGATTTTGTTTATAAATTGTTATTTGATATGTAACGTCAATGGTGGGAGCTTAGAAAGCCCGATTTTCATACATGGCAATTACATGTGTTAAGGGAGCCGTTGAAGGCTCGGCTAGATGTACATGAGTGGGTTTCATCTCATTTCATGACATAGAATGAGATTCTTGTTATTGAATGCATATTCTTGATGAGAATGTTTTAAGTGATTGATTGTTACATGTGAACATTTTATATTCATCTAGGTTAGAGAGTAACCTCTTTAGAAGATACCCTATTGAGTATGACTCACTCTTTGTGGAAAAATATTACAGGTGCAGGGTTCACACCGGTGGATGGCTCTCAATTAGAGCCTAAAGGGTTAAAAAGACCGACTTGTGACTTTTATGACTCATTTTGTATAACTTTTATGAAAATTTCATTTTGGCATGTAAATATAAAAGAATTGTAATCAAATTTATATGGACTGTTTTTAATGTAAAAATTGCATGCAATTATATGAGTATGGATAAATGGACCTGGTATGACCAATGTTTACTCATGAATAGACCCAGTGTGGTCAATATTTACTCATAAATGGACCCGGTGTGGTCAATGTTGTATGATTGCACAAGTTGTGTTTTGGGTAGAGCTCCCCATACAAAGGAGACTCTGCCCGAATTTTACTAAATTATGGACCTCGAGAAATGTGGCATAACGACGTGATATCGAATTACACGGTATCCATGGGTTGATGGGTGATCAATAGTTGAGAAATGACCCCCGATTTTTGGGGCGTCACAAACCCCCTCGCCATCTCATCAAGTTCCAGTAAAAGACATTAAGTCTGGATGTCTGTGGTGGAAGATGTTGACCCTACTTTCAATATATTCCTTATGTGGATTGTCTCGAGACACCCCATCATGATGCATCTTCAGTGTAAAATCTGGCTCTACAAAACATAATGGGGACCACAAAATTATCAAATGCGGTGACCATTTGCATAAAAAACAAATCTAGGGATCAAATGCATATAAAACAAAAAAATAGTATAAAATAATCACGGATTGTATGCAAGAACTACATTGTATACGTCTAATTCATGAAATTTTTTCCAGGTAAAATCGATGTGTCAAAGAGTGGATAACAGATTTATTCAAGCTTTAATGGTTCTTGATTTACCATATTCTGGATTGAAGTCATTGTCTTCGCATCATTGACAATTGAACCAGCCAGCCATTACAGGAGTATTTGAAATCCTATTGATATGAGAAACGACTCTTGATATCAATAGAAACGGTTGTATATTCGAAAATTCCCAAATCCAAAAGTGAACCCTAGTTAGGAGGACAAACAGTTGTATTGCTATTTCCATTCCTCACATAGCTGATGAGGTTAAAGGGTAGGAAGGACCATTAAATGACTGAATTGTGCTTTTAACTCCATCACATGCCACGCTCATGTGCCATTTTCCATCACTCTTTTGGACGGTAGTTAGGGGTAATGACAAAAGTCAGTCAATGTTATAACATGGAGGACGAAATTGTTGAAATTAAAACTTTAAGGATGAAAGTGCAACAAGTGTCAAACCTCAAAGATTAACGGTGCAATTTACCTTATATATTTTCTTAGTTGGATACTGGGGTATATCATAATTTTGTACTTTACTTTCAATATCTGAAAATTTGACTTTTTCAAGATTTTCTACAAAGAGAGATATAGATGTATATATAGATATAGACATCGATAGATGCATAATAGATAATATATTAAATAAATAATATAGAAAGAATTACACTAAGACATTTGAAGTTTTTTACTTAATCACTTAGATCCCTGATATTTAAAATATTACACACAGACCCCTAAAATTTGTATGTGCATAACACTTAGACCCCTGCAGTCAATGTCTATTAGAATATTTATTAATAAATTACAATCAGATTTCCTGAAATTTGTAAACATATAATTTTTAAACTCCTTAAATTTAAAATATTATACTTAAACCATAAAAACTCCAATCAACGATAGAATATCAAATATTTTAAATTTTACAACAAAAATTCATGTTTTATTGTATTATTTATTGAAATAAAATTAAAAATAAAAATCTAATTTTTCTTAAAAAATCGTAATTAATATATAATTATACTATCTATTGGAATAAAACTAAAAAAATCAAATAAATGGTCTAAGTTATTCATAATAGAAAATGAATTTTACAACAAAAATTCATGATCTATTATATCATTTATTGAAATAAAATCTAAAATAAACGTCTAATTTTGTCTTAAAAAATATAATTAGTATACAATTATACTATTTATTTGAATAAAAAAAATTAAACAATTGGTCAAACTATAATGGACATAATATCTTCTACCTTTAATTGGGGTAATTTGGTAGTTTAATTTAGAAGTTTAAATGACCAAATTAAATTTCAATATATAGTATAATTGTATACTAATTATGATTTTTTTAAGAAAAAATTAGATTTTTATTTTTAATTTTATTTTAATAAATGTCCTAATAGAACATAAATTTTGTTATAAATATTAAAATATTTGATATTCTATATTTGATTGAAGTATTTTTTATCTAAGTATAATATTTTAAATTTGAAGGATCTCAATATTACATATTTATAAACTTTAGACGGTTTGAGTGTAATTTATTAACGGATATAGAAACGGACATTGATGACCGAGTCTAAATGTTAAGCATGTACAAACTTTAGAGGATTTGTGTATAATATTTTAAATTTTAAGGAATCTGAGTAATTAAGTGATAATTTTTGGGGTCTATATGTAATTCTCCCAAAAATATATTAAAGTAACAAAATCAATATCGACAAACTAACAACTTCACTGCGATCACGCGGAAATTTCGTGCAGTCAAGGAGAGCGCCACGGTGTGAATCCAAAACGAAAGCCTTGGAAATTGTACAAAGTCCAGACAAGCGATCAGTCTTCACTTCTCCGCAACTAATTCGTTTTCTTCACCCTGACTCTATTAACAGCGCCTAGGTTGGCTCTCATACTTCTCTTCTCTCTTTCTCACGCACACACAACGAATTGAATCAGTAGAAGCTGCGAATCAGGTTGCATATCAAGTATCTCTATCTCCTACTTTGTTGAGGCACAAGATCTTCCTAAAACTTTCAAATTGTTGCAATTG